AAATTCAAAAATATTGAGTAATTGTAGAATATTGAATTATTTTTGATATTAATGATCATGATATGATATTTTTATTCATCTCAGCATCATTAAATTCAAAAATATTGAATAGTTATAAAATACTGAATTATTTTTGATTTTAATGGCCATGAAATGATATTCGAATTCATCTCAACAACATTAAATCCAAAAATATTGAACAATTGTGAATAGTAAATTATTTTTGATTTTAATGGTCATGAGATAATATTCGAATTCATCTCAGCATCATTAAATTCAAAAATATTGAATTATTGTAGAATATTGAATTATTTTTGATTTTAATGATCATGAGATAATATTCGAATTCATCTCAAGAACATTAAATTCAAAAATATTGAATTATTGTGAATATTGAATTATTTTCGATTTTAATGATCATGAGATGATATTTGAATTCATTTCATCATCATTAAATTCAAAAATATTGAATAATTGTGAATATTGAATTATTTTTGATTTTAATGATCATGAGATGATATTTGAATTCATCTCAGCATTATTAAATTCAAAAATATTGAGTAATTGTAGAATATTGAATTATTTTTGATTTTAATGATCATGAGATGATATTCGAATTCATCTGACGACCATTAGATTCAAAAATATTGAATAATTGTAGAATATTGAATTATTTTTGATTTTAATGATCATGATATGATATTCGAATTCATCTCAGCATCATTAAATTCAAAAATATTCAATAATTGTGAATATTGAATTATTTTTGATTTTAATGATCATGAGATAATATTTGAATACATTTCATCATCGTTAAATTCAAAAATATTGAATAATTGTAGAATATTGAGTTATTTTTGATTTTAATGGTCATGAGATGATATTCGAATTCATCTCAGCATCATTAAATTCAAAAATATTCAATAATTGTGAATATTGAATTATTTTTGATTTTAATGATCATGAGATGATATTCGAATTCATCTCACGAGCATTAGATTCAAAAACATTGGATAATTGTGAATATTGAATTATTTTTGATTTTAATGATCATGATATGATATTTGAATTCATTTCATCATCATTAAATTCAAAACTATTGAATAATTGTAAAATATTGAATTATTTTGGATTTTAATGACCATGCAATG